GTTAAGCAATGGAGAAAAGATCAGAGAAGAAAAGGATAGTGTTGGTTCCACTTCCATTACAAGGACATATAACTCCAATGATGCAGCTTGGTCAAGCCCTTAACTTGAAGGGCTTCTCAATTACAGTTGCTCAGGGTGAATTTGATCAAGTGTGCTCTTCACAACACTTCCCAGGTTTTCAATTTGTCACCATACCAGAGAGCATACCGGTGTCTCAACTCGAGAGATTCGGACCAGTCGAGTTTCTGATAAAGCTCAACAAAACCAGCGAGGCAAGCTTCAAGGACTGTATAGCTCAATTGTTGCTACAACAAGGCAATGATATTGCTTGTATCATCTACGATGATCTCATGTACTTCTGTGGAGCTGCAGCTAAGGAATTCAACCTTCAAAGTATTATCTTCAGCACTACAAGTGCTTCACATAAAGTTTGCATCACTGTTTTAAGCAAACTCGATGCTGAGAAGTTCTTGATCGACATGGAAGGTACTCAAAACTAGCTTATTACCCATTCTGCAACTCGTCCTTTTACTCAACATATATATAAATATTTTACTTTACAGATCCTTACGTGCAAGACAAGGTGGTGGAGAATTTGCATCCATTAAGTTACAAAGACCTACCGACTTGGGGGTTTTGGCCATTAGAGCAATTTTTTGAGCTCTGTGGGGAAGCAGTCAACAAAAGAACAGTTTCCGGTGTTATCATCAACACAGTGAACTGTTTAGAGAGCTCATCTCTGTCATGGCTAGAACAGGAACTCGGAATTACAATGTACCCATTGGGCCCTCTTCACATTACAGCTTCAGCAAATTCAAGTTTACTGGAACAAGACAGGAGCTGCATTGAATGGTTGAACAAACAGAACCCAAGGTCAGTCATATACATAAGCTTGGGAAGCTTAGCTGTCATGGAAACCAAGGAAGTATTGGAGATGGCTTGGGGGTTGTGTAACAGCAATCAACGTTTCTTATGGGCCATCCGAACGGGAACGGAGTCATTGCCAAAGGAAGTCAGTAGAATGGTCTCAGAAAGAGGATGCATTGTCAAATGGGCACCGCAAAATGAGGTACTTGTACATCCTGCAGTGGGAGGCTTCTTGAGCCATTGTGGATGGAACTCAACGCTCGAGAGCATTGTGGAAGGAGTTCCAATGATTTGCAGGCCTTTTAACGGTGAGCAGAAGTTAAACGCAATGTATATAGAAAATGTTTGGAATGTAGGGATTCAGCTTGAAGGTGATGTGGAAAGAAGAGCGGTCGAGAGAGCTGTGAAGAGGTTGATTGCGGGTGAAGAAGGCCAAGACATGAGGGAGAGAGTCCTTGTTTTGAAAGAAAAGCTCAAAGCCTCTGTAAGAAAAGGAGGATCCTCATACAACGCATTGGATAAGCTCGTCAACCACTTGAAGACACAGTAGAGGTGGTGAACTTCACGTAGCAATTTTTAAAGACAGAGTTAAGTTGATGAATTTCTTGTAACTTAAAAAGATAAAGCTTGATCTTGCAAATAAAATTTTACAAAAGACAAGGTTTTTTCTAGGCAAATAAAAAAAGTAGAGATAATTACTAAAATAACTTTGGAAAGTGGTTAATTACTAGAACAATTTTTATTCAACCTTGAAACTCAACACAAGTTATAAAAGACAAATAAACCTTAGTAACAAGTTTTTATTACAAAAATGCCATTCATAATTTATAAATTAAAAAAAAAAATCAAACATTTGTTTGAAACTGCGGAAGCACTGGATCGTGCTCGGCGGAGGTGTGGAGGCTACGGAAGCACCGAGATTTAGGTAAAAATCGGATTAAAAATCAAAAGTTGAAAAAAAAACTCAAAATCTTTTGATTTTTTGTTAGAAAATGAATATATGATGTTAGATCTACTAGTTTTAGGCAAAATCCAGTTGAAAATGAGTTAAAATACAGTTAAAACAAGCTAAAAAGTGGCTGGCCGCCATTGTTAGGGTTGGAGAGAAGCTTGGTCTTGTGGAAAAGATGAGGGGTAAATTACGATTTTACTCGTTATTGAATAAATCTACCACTACTATAAATAAGTCTACCACATATTATAAATCTACCACTACTATAAATAAGTCTACGATTGTGCCAACCATCAATAAGTCTACCGATAACAAAATTAACTCCACCACTACTATAAATAAGTCTACCACATATTATAAATCTACCACTACTATAAATAAGTCTACCATATATTATAAATCTACCACTACCACGACTATAAATAAGTCTACCACATATTATAAATCTACCAATACTATAAATAAATCTACCACTACTATAAAAATTCTACCAACTGAAGGTTGTTTTAGTAAAGAAGTGAAAAGATTGAATAAATTTACCACTACAATAAATAAGTCTACCACATATTATAACTCTACAACTAGTATAAATAAGTCTACGGTTGCGCGAATCATCAATAAGTCTACCGATCACAAAATTAACTCTACCACTACTGTTAATAAGTCTATAAACTCCAAAATAAATCTACCACTACTGTAAGTAAGTCTACAATTGCGCGAATCATCAATAAGTCTACCGATCACAAAATTAATTTTACCACTACTGCTAATAAGTCTATCACTCTAAAATAAATCTATCACTACTGTAAATAAGTCTACCATTGCGCGAACCATTAGTAAGTCTAACAATCACAAATTTAACTCTATCACCACTAGAAATAAGTCTACCGATCACAAAATTAACTCTA